TCTCTCTCTCCACCCTCCGCTGCGGGGAGGGGGGGAGGAAGGGACTGAGGGCACCAGACAGACGGCTTGCGTCTGTGTCTCCCTGCGCGCCGCTGATTGCACGGTGTTTACAGCCCCCCCCCCCTCCCCCCAGTGGAGACGAGCAGCACGTACTGGAACTGCATCGCGCTCGAAAGAGAGAGGGAGAGGAAAACAAGCAGAAATCAGCGAATAGGGCCGCGGTGGCGGCGGCGGCCATGCGGCGTGCAGCCCTCCAAGTCCCGCCGACCCTTCCCGAGCCTCCTTAGCAAGAGGATTCAGCGGGGCTTCCGTCATTTTTGAAGATTACAACCCCTTTCGCCCACATTCCCCCGTTTTCCCCCGAGCATGCACGCGCACGACAAAAATGTGCGGTGGGCAAAGTAAAAAATGTATCTAAAAAATTTTAAAAAATGATACAGTTTGGCGGTGGCTCACAACAACGGTGGTGGCGCGCGGTGGGAACAACAAGAACAATAACAACGCGTAGTGTGCGGAGAAGGGGAGGGAGGGAATTCCTGGTCGGCGACCACGAAACTTGGTAAGTGAAGCACTCAAAGAGACCACATCAGGCGTGGCGCGGCGGCCGCCCCGCGGACGAAGGGCAGGAGTGGGGAAGGGGTGGCAAAAGAGGGGGGGGGGGGAAGAGGGGTACCGCACAAACGCCACTCACACGTCACAGCGGGTTCAAAACACATTCGCGCGCATCGCCGCGCGGGTCTGGGGGTGGTGGGCGGGGAGGGAGAGCGGTAGGTGAAAAATGTAGCGTACGCTGCTCACTGCACTGCTGCACACCCAATCAGAAAATAATACCGTGGAACTATTGACAGATAAGGTATCCACTAGGTTTTAGTGCAAATTAACGTTATTCGTGACAAGTTAAACCTACGTTTCGGTTTGGACAAATTTGTGCGCAAAATTGCATATATGATGTCGTGCAAGTGTTCAAATCAACGCAGAAATGAGTGCAAAACATTTGATTGCTCAAATTTGTACCCGTTAAAGCAACAAATCCAGGTTGATGTGTAGACAACACGCACACGTTTGAATATATTATTTATTTTTATCCGCCTATCTATTTCCCCTTACCTTCGTTGGTTCGGTTGGTTTCGTACGAACGCGTCGTTTCATTTACTCTTTCTGTCCGAGCTGGCTGGCGGTCGGTCCGGGCGGCCGCCGCCGGGCCTCTGGAGGGGCCGCACTTCCCCAGCCGGGTAACACACCTTATCCCATCTCGTACGAAAGCAAACCGTTCTCACTCGCCGAGATTACAAACCCCCCACCACCACTCGCACTAAGAGTAATCCGACGAGCACGGGGCGCTGCGGGCGCGGTGGCGGCATCCCCCCTTCTACTGCTGCTGAACGCGGAGGTGTTTGACTTTGGGGCGAGGGGATGCGATAGATCAGCCTGAAAAGGATGGCGGTGCGCCTGTGACTGTGGCTCGAACGGAAAAAAGAAGAAAAAAAACGGAAATTTTGTGTACACCTCCAAAACACGTTGAATATTACTACGTTCTCCAATCACTCGCGGATGATGTTTATTGTAGCATCGTGCATCGTGGACAATGTGATCGACCAGACTGTGCCAGTTCAACGGAGAACAGCCTGACGATAAAAAAATAAATTGATTTTATCATGTATTTTTTTCATCATTTATTGGAATTGTTCTGACATTTTGTCGGAAAAGCATACAAACAAATATGTATATGGGTTCGCAGTAAAAGCATTGAAGGGCCTTATACAAAAGTGATGTGTACAATACTCCTATCTAAAACTCTTTCTAGTACACAGAAGTAAATAGGCCGTGCTTTCCTATGTGAGTTTGAAGATGCCTACGCAGGCAAATATTTTGAGTGAATTTGTTGTTGCACAAAATACACGCAAACGGCTTTTCTCCTGTGTGGATTCGAAGGTGTCCACGTAGGCCACTACTTTGCCTAAATTTCCTGTTGCACACAGCACACTCAAACGGCTTTTCTCTTGTGTGGGTTATAAGGTGTTCACGCAGAGAACAACTCCTCGAGAATTCCTTGTTGCACACAGTGCATTTAAACAGGTTTTCTCCTGTGTGGGTTCGAAGGTGTACACGGAGGTTACTACTTTGCCTAAATTTCCTGTTGCACACAGCACACTCAAACGGCTTTTCTCCTGTGTGGGTTTTAAGGTGTTCACGCAGAGTCCAACTCCTCGAGAATTCCTTGTTGCACACAGTACA